AGGCATCTTGCTGCAGAGAGAATGCTCCATAAGGCTGGACTCTGCCCACTTAGAAAGGCAAGTAATTCCATGCAAAACAGGTTTTTTTATTAGCAGAAAACAGGGTGTCCTTTTCATCCCAGTGTTGTGGGCAAACCTTGGGACTGAGGTACTCACCTACTTCGCCATCATTCCCAATGCTTCAGGCCGTGCTTTCCAGAACTGTGGGCTGAGAACCTGGAAGGACTACTTCCCCTTTAAAGGATCACTTAGTGCTCAAGAGCAGTTTTTGGCGATGGATCACCTGGGCCCTGAACTATGTGACCTTAAGTAAGTTACTTAACTTCTCTGAGCCTTAAATTTCTAACTTTTAAAGTGGGGATGATAATGAAACCTATATCACAGGATTGGCTGAGGATAAATAAGGGGTAAAGGCGTGAAGTGCCCGCTACATGGCCAAAGCTCAACTACTTTTACCCTTATCGTCTTGCCCATCTTTCTGGAGGAATTTCAGAAGCCCCCCCCCCCCCCCCAACTATACTCGCTCTCCATTTCTGCACCTGCCAATTGTGAACAAGAATGCTTGTGGAAACACTTCACAAATACCATGAAGGTTGGAACACTAAGACTATCACATTGGCAAATACCAAAGATCCTAACAGGAAAACCGGAGACAGGGAGACTCAGACACCCAGTGGGAATCGAAAATTATCATGGGATTAGAGAAAAAAAGAGTAAGAAAGAAATGAAACGTCAAACCCATGTTGACAAGGTTAGGGCCCCTTAACCAATGCCTGCATCTTTGAAAGTTTCCCAGGAGACGCAGCCAGTTCTGGGTTACGCCAGAGTGTGGTTTCCAAGGACAGGGCGGTTTACAGGCTAGCAGGAAGCAGACACTCTGTAAATATTCTCTAAAGGTTAATGAAGTGGTCGTAGCCTAGCTCTAGGGCCACGAGGAAAGATTGCAGTAGCGCTGATGTCAGGAGACCTGTTAGTTTCCAGACCACAGTTTACACGGCCTCTAATGGAAGATCAGTTTGCTCTGTCAGAAGGCTGCCAAGGGCAGACCCCTCAATTTGCATCATCTCTCAGGCTAGGAAATGTCAAGAGCCTGAAGGAGCAACTTTCTCCATTTCCTTTGCCCTCCTAGGGAAGAAAAAAAAAAAAAAAAAATAGAATGCTAGTGTTTGTAGTAGAGGCTTGCTGCACCATCCCATGAGAGTTTTGTCTCTAGAAGTTTGCCTGATGAATATTTGACATGAACTATACATGTATTCTGTTAAAAACTTGAACCTGACAAGTTTTTGTTGCAACCCTGCAAATTCATTTTATTCAAAGTTGTCACAGATTGGGTTGACCAGAAAGCCTACTTTGAGATGGAGGTTGGTGTGTAGGAGAGTGACTGGAAACACTCTTGAGATCCTGGAAGGGAAGGGGATCAGGGACAGCAGGGAGGCCGACACTTCTAGTGATGCTAAGTTAGGGTGAGGGGCGGGGACTTTTCACTCTTGTTTTGCTCAACCACCTGCTAGTGGCTGAGGTGGGGCTATTCCCTGAGCACAAGCAGCTGCTCTTCAGCTGAGACAAATCCTCCAGGGGGCTGAGAGCTGGCATTGCCAGCAGCTGAAGTAATACATCTGTTATTACTAATTGGACGTCAGGTGGTGTACCCCAGAACCTACCACTTTAGGGAAGCATTAATAGAAAACCACACGGTCACCCTCTAATCATTGCCTCTTCCTTTGCCATGCAGAGCACTAATATGAGATGATGCATTCAACACTTTATTTTCTGTCTTCTCAAAGGTTCATGAGCCAAAGAAAGGGAACTCTGTCTTACCCGATTACCTCCTGGTACATCATGGGTACTCAGCAAATACTGAACAAGTTTACCCAATGGGAAATGCTAACTAGTGGCAAGAAGCTAGCTTGCATTGCAGATGTTCTCAGGAATCAGAGGAAGGGAAGAAGAGGCTATACAGGCAAATTCCATGGAGCTAACAACTCAAGGACTCAGTTAGGGCTGTGGCAGTTGATGGTGGAATTAGAGACTGGAGGCCCTACAGTTGCCATATGACCGGCATCTTTTAAATCCACGTTGTGTCTTACTGGGAAAGGGAGAGACAAAATAAGGCATGTTGCTTTGCTCCTTAATCCACAAGTCCTCTTGGTAAGACCTTGGCCCCAACCTTGGAGGGAGGCATCAAAGAGGAAACCTCAAACCTGCACCCTGTGGCCTGAACACTGGGAAAGTCAAAAGCAGCGCCTGGGCATAAACTTTGCCAGAAAAGCACATGGCACATGGGGTTGTCCCTGCTTTGAGTTTGTTGCTGCCTCTGTGCTCCCTGCATGACGCTAACAAACCAGAGGGTGTCAGCAGCATGGGCTGTACCAATACCTCCTCTTTCACCTTGAGGGCTTGCTTTGTTTATTAGCTCTAACACTGAATTGATTGCTTTTCCTTCTTAGACAGGATCAATCCCATCAACCCCACATTCTCTCTGGGCCAGCAACTTCTGAACCATAAAAGTTGTTTGCTTCTCTCTATTCTACATGTAGTGAAGCCATTCGGTTTTTATCTTTTTCCTTGTGATTTAGCTCACTTCCAGCTCCATCCATGTTGCCACAAATGGTATGAGATGTTCTTTTTAATTGCTGTGTAGTATTCCGTTGTAGACAAATACACCACATTTTATTTATTTGTTTTGAGGCTCTTGGGTTGTTTCCATGTCTTGGCTATTGTAGACAGTGCTGCAATAAACACAAGAATGCAGGTTTCCTTTCAAATTAGCATTTTTGTATCCTCTGGTTAGATTCCTAGGACTGGAATTACTGGACCATCTGATAGATCCATTTTTAGTGTTCTGAAGAAACTGGGATGGATGCTTTTGTACGAGCCTCTTTGTCCTTTCTGCCATGTGAGAACGCAGGAAAATATGGCCATTGATGAGCTAAGCAGCAATATCTTACCAGACACCAAATTTGTGAGCACCTTAACCCTGGACTTGCCAGCCTCCTGAACTGTAACAGGAAACACGGCTGTTTAAGCTACTCAGTCTCTGCTATTTTTAACAGCCAGAATAAATGAAGATAAAAATTCAAATATATTCATGAAAAGAACACAAAAGCCCATACACTTTGAGAAATACAATAGTTTTCACACAGCCTGTGTTCTTGAACTTGATTGATGGTGACAAGCTGTGGAGGCGTGTGTCAGTCCAGGCTCTCCAAGTTGATGTCAAGTTGGGATTAGGCTGCAGAAGACTTACTGGGGGAGACCACACAAAGGACAGAGGTGAAGAGAGCCCAGCTGAGGACGGGGCTCCTGGAGACTGCACTATCCTGCCCCCCCCACACCATCTCCTGCAGGGGCATCTTAACAGGTACCTCCAATTATCACGTCATGCCCAGGAAAAGGGGGTTCTGGGATCTCTGCTCTTCCCTCCAGGAAGGGTGGAGTTGCACAGGGAGAAGTTAGAGGAGACTGGAAGGAAGGAGATCGAGGAAAAGGCCGGGAGGTACATGGAGCAAAGATGTAGAGAAGCTGTGCTTGCATCTGTCCCAGGCTGGTGCCGGCGACGTGGGGACTGAAGGAGACACTTGAAAGAGACGGAGGGTGGGTGAGAAACCCAGGGGAAGGCTGACAATGGCAGCCTCTGTCTTCACTTGGGCTTTGATTTTGCCTTTTCTTCCAGACTTGCGGCTGGAAGGATTTCCTGGCTGAGCAGGAAATGAAGGTTTCCTGCTCAGCCAATTTATTCCATCATTGCTTAAAAATATGCAAGAGGCTTCTAGTATAGAGTCTAATTCCAAGATTATTACTCTCCGGCTTATTCTCTACTCTTGGGAATAGCCCCTCTGCTGAAATCTAGGGAGATTTTAGGTGTGGTCTCAACAATGCAGTGATCTTTTTTTTTTCCTTAAAGATTCATCTATGCATACAATTACTGGGGTACAGGCCAGAGGTGTGGGAGATGAGAGGATTCAGTAAAGATAGAGTGGGGAACAGAATAGGCGGATCAACTGAAAAAACTGCGAAGTGGAGCAACAGGCAAGACAGGAGAGGTCTGGCTATGGCAGGGATCAAACTCATGCTGCAGTAGCTGCGGAGAGCTTCATAGTGTTGTGCTTTAAGCCCTTGCGCCACCCCCAACAAAGTGAACTTGACTACTCTACATTAAGAACTTTCTATATCTCCGATTGCGCACTACACTCTAGTGGGCATGTTGTCATCCATTTATGAGTTAAGGTCCCAGCACTTTGAAGGCATTGCTCAAGAATCTGCACAAATGTCACCTCCTCAGAGTCCTCTAGATCATCATTGGTAGAGCAAATAACCCTTCCAAAGAACTCTGTTTTGCATATTATACTTAAGGGGGCTTATACTTAACAGGCTCCCCACAGCCTGTTAGCTCACTGAGGCCCAGCTTTGTCCCACTAGGTTTTTCCAACTTTCACAGCTATTCAAGGTATCTGTTTACTTTGGTACTTAGCAGGGTTACCCGGGAGAGCAATCTTATCTCCATCAGCCCTCAGGGTATCTCAGGCAGTGGCAGCAAAGTATTCAGTTTGCAAGTACTGATATGCAGCCTAAGCCTGGCACTCAATTGTGTGTGTGGAGGGGGGTGGTGGTGGGGGAAGGGGGACACATGATAAGGGAAATACTCAAATACTCACGTTACACAAAACCACAGTTTGGGACTCTTCAACTCATACTTCAAACTTGCATTCCTTACATGATTCTGGTTTGGAGGTTGTGGAGCTGGATCAAGTTTGAGTATTATGTTTGATAAATTTCATCTTTTCCCAAAGGTGAGGCCAGGCAATGAAATTACCAGGTTGCCTTTATTTTGAGTGTCACAGGTTCGATTACCTGGGAACTGTGCTTATTCTGGACTTTGGAAACAAAACACAAATTCATTACCAAAACCAATCCTACTTTCCAAAAGTAACTGGAGGTCAAAATTCCATTTGTAAAATCATTTTATTGATATAAATATACATATGAATAAAATTCTTTCAGCCTGTAATGTAAGTGAATATTTGTGAAATGTCTTAAAAAGAGCAGTATTTTGATTTTTTTACAGGTGTCAAAGTAGTCTCTCTTAAAATCACACATTAAAAGCTAATATGCAGACAGAAAGTAAAGCCCTTCAAAAAACATGAATATTCATAAAACCTCATTCCAGTTTACTATATACATTAATCTGGGCACATGGAGGAATCAGCCTCTTTCACTCTGGTTATTCACTGTGCTTGTGATGGCGTCGCCCTGGTCACCGACCAAGTTTAAATGTACAATTCCACATCCGGAAGGAGCAAGTTCCCCATGGGAGAATGTAAAGACCATACCCAAGATCTAATAGATATAATTTATACAAATTATTTATTAGTGTGCTCTGTTAATATAATTACAATGTGCAATTGCATACATCAAGAATAAATTGCTCTATCATGTCAAGTGCAGATTTGACACAGGGACACACGAGGTACCCCACGGTCAGCCAGATCTTGTGTGAGTGTTGTGTCCAGTTACTTCATTTACCTCAAAAAACTCCTCCTGCAGAGTGAACTATAGCTGCCTCAGAGAAATTCAAGTAGGGCCTATGAGATACTTGCTGGTATTCATTGAAGGCATAAGAAGGAATGCTTAGAAATCAAATGTCAAGGGTGGGGGAAGACTAAACAGATGCATGATGATTACCAAGGAGTGGATGTTTCTGTTTTCCACTAAAAAAAAAAAGGGAAAAGAAAAGAAAACAGCACCAAGAGATGAGCTCCCAGGAAGCTGAAGAGATGTGCCCTTCGTCCTCTCTGATGGCTAACAAAGCACCCTGCACATGAAGACCTTCGCGTGGGTGACCTTCACACAAAAATAAAATCTTTTTCCACTTCTTCCCCAGAGTCGTTCGATTTGCTGCCTTGCTGGCCATCTTTACTGGAGGACCACTGCTTTTGTTCTTGATTCTCCTGGGCCTGCTGGCCCCAGCTTCTCCTTGAAACTGAAACACAAAGGAAGCAAGTTGTTATACATGACTAGGAAGGCAATGCCAGTGGCCTGACCGATAATGGGGTGAAATGTAGTTGCCCTAAAGAGTAGAAGAGTTTGGGATGAACTTTCCCCCAAAACAATTTACAACGAAGAGACTGTAGAGAGAAATTAAAAACAAACCAACAAAACAAACAAGGAAACATAAAAAGAACCTCAGTCTATGAGAGGGAGGATGAGCCTCTCATAGATGTGGTCAAGAACCTGAGGTGAAAGGAGATGCCAGGCAGGAGAAGCACACCTGTGTCAGGTGACTCCTCGGTCAAGCTGCTCCCTTACACAGCAGGGGGAACAGAGTGTAGAGGAAGAGAAGAAATCCCCCACACAAGAAACCTCTGTTTTTTTCTCAGGCTTTTGAGCAATCAAATTAACACCAGACAGGTTAGTAGGAGAAAAGAACAAACTTTATTACATGTGTCTGGAGCGTCTACATGGACACAGATTTTAAAGTCAATTGGGCAAAATGAGGGTATATATCCCAAGACAAGGGATGGGACAGGAGCCTGGAATATCAATGAGGGAAGAGTGGAAAGGATGACGCCTTTGAGAAAGACCAGCTACTCTGTGACTGTAGTTTACTCTGCCCTATAGGTAGGTTTCTGTGACAGAAAATTTGTTTATGGTAAAAATTCTAACCTTGAGGAATACTTAAATTTTCATTCATCTAAGTTGTTAAGAGAATACTGAAGTGGTACTGAACTTGCAGGAGCCTCTGTTGAAATAATTTATGTGCCAAAGTTATACACATCTAGGGGAAGCCCATCTCTGTGGGGCACACTCAGCCCTAAGGTATCACTACTGGACAGATGTTCCACTTGATGCCTTTCAGAGATGACTAAGGGCTGGCCTTCCCTGCTTTGGGCACAAGATACAAGGAATGGCCCTAACGGTCTTTGTCAGACCTTCCTGTATCTCAGCCAACCTCAGTTTCATGCTCTAGGAAATGAATAGTCTTGTGAAAATCAACTAATACTCGTATGGTATTTTTTCCCCCTGCACATAGGATTTTTTTTTTAATTGTAATAGTTTATTGCTATGGTATTTTTAATTCTTTTGAAATGAACCTTCAGGTAAAAGAACTGCATTTACTGCTGCTTGTTCTGATTATCTCTATATATATAAAAGGTCCACTGACACTTTCCAAAGCAATGATGGGAGAATAATTATTGGAACAGAACCCTGGCGATAGGCCTGAACAAGTAATCTCTGTTTTGTTAAAGCAACTCCTCACAACTACCTTCTAAGGTCGATTTTAAAAAAGTTTGAACCAGGAATTACACTACAGATCTCTCTCGCTTTCCCTTCCACCTTCCTGACGTTCTTTCCAATTAGCTCATTGCTTCACTGCTACCTTGTAGTATAAAAAGGTTGGGAAATGGTTCAAATGCCATACTCCCTTATGGCTACTAAGGATTATTTAATATATAACTCATCTCATTTATTGTGCAGATGCTGCTCCTGCTGAAACTATTAAACACACATACGTTGTGTGGCTTGAATGAAGAGTGCCGTTACCTCCATCACACAGAGGTTCAAATGACCCAACCAGGAACACAGTTCTGGAAAGCCAGTAGGATTCATTTGATGTTTCCAATCATTTTAATTTTAGTATTATGCTATACAATCAATGCCAGGAATTGGCTACATAAATGTTTAACTCATTAAACAGAGCTTCAGGAAGTGAATGCTCATGGAACCTAATCATGAAACTGTAAGCATAATAGAATATATCTTTTGTCAATAAATTTTTGGTTCACTGCATTAAACTGAAATTATTCCAAATTCTGAGAAGATCAACCATTCAAATCTCTTTATAAAAATATTAATAAAAAAAACTTCTTTTTTAACCCCTAACTTTGGGCAAATTGTCAGATGGGGTAAAACAATGAATTCATATTATAATTTTACTTTTTAGCTTGTATTGGGTAAAAAAATTAAATGCACTTGATTGCCTGTTTCTTTGAAAGTCGTTAATAAGCCAGGCTTGGGGGACAAATGATTTCCTGTAACTGCTTTGTCTTTTATCACAAAACCTACTTGTTATTAATACACAGAGTCATTTAAATTGTCAGTTTATATATGCACTATAAGAGGAAGTAGAGATTTATATCTTCACTTTAAAGATAGTTTGCAGTAATCTATTCTCAAAATACACTATCTAACCTGTGAGCTCTGCTAAAAAATTTCATACATTCCATTTCAAATTTAAAGCAAATTGTTTCCCTGTATCAAATAACTGAGAGATCTATTTCCAACACTATAGTTTTGAAGGAAGAAGTAATTAGGGCAGTACATTTTTCATCTGTCTTCAGAGTAAACATTTACTCTAATTCTTAGATGGCAAAAAGTTCCACAACTTCAATTTTTTAGCTCCCTGGAAACCTGAGATCTAGTTAATATTATATGATATGATATCTGAATACTCTCTAAAAAATGGAGTGATTTGAGATAAAAAAAAATGTCTGTGTCACAGATAAAAACTAAGCTAATAACCCTAGAACCAGGGTCTTTATAGTGGATCTAATTAAGATTCAGAGCAGTCCAACGGTGAGCAACATCCTGCAGAACTCTACACCCTTCACTGTCTATCCAAGGGCTGATGCTTCTGAATCCCTGACATTGGACTTCGGAGTCCTCCAGGACTGGGGAGAAGGGAGGCCACAGCAAATACTGACAATTAACAACAACCAAAATTATAATTCGCCCAATAGTCACTGACAAATAATGACATGTCCTCTCTAGAAGACAGTCAAAACAGTTCACTATGGTGGTACCACTATTAAAAAAAAAATCCTGCAAATATTCACTTCCATTGATCAATTTCTACCAATGGTCAGTGTGAATGTGATCCTGAGACCAGTGCCAGGCTACACTGGCCTTGGTATTTTAAGCAGGCACCACTCATAGGTATGAAACCAGGCACAGCAAGATCAAAGAAGCAATGTTTCATAATTCACTTGGTTGTGTTTGTAAACCAAAGCACTGGACTTCCCAGGCCCTGCCTGCTCAAATGTCCAGCCCACTAGTACAAACAACTTTGTCGAGGAAAGTTCTTGTCAGATTTGTCTTCTAGGCTTCTGGCAGCATCTACTTGATTGAAACTAATTAGGATACTAATTACAATTCCATTAAAGTAGGTTTGGTCCGTTTTCCCCTCCATGGATGGCCTAAGTAAGATTAGTACATCTGCTGAAAGTTAAAACCCTAGAAATCTTTTAAAAATATTTATGCAACTTAGGCTTTCAACTAGCCCACCTGAACCTCTCTTTTAGACAATCTAATTTAATGCTTGACTTTTTACAGGGTTAAAAACCAGAAAAGAACAAAATAAAAGCAGATCGTTGCAGGGCATTTTTTCAGTGCAAGTATTTATTTGCACAGTTAAAGTGCTGGAGTATATCTAGACACAAATTTGTTATTGCTCCAAGTACCATTAAAATTATAAAAGATACTGGAGTAAGTGAATAAGAAATCTCTTCAACACCAATACTGCATACGTATAGTCACATACCATCTACAGTGGCCATAATTAGCAAAGAGGCTCAAGCATGAAATCTGTCGGTTCTTAAAACCCATTTGGCTTTGCATATATATTTATGCGTAAATGTATATATGTTAATTTTAAAGCTTCTGAAATATGTATATACACACACCAAATAAAAGATTCATATGATAGTTTGAACTATTCTCCACTTTAAGTTCCATTGATATCCATTATAATGACCTTAAAATAATATTCAGAAGTTGGCCTTGATTTTTGATACCTTCTGGCAAGAGTCAGAATGTCAACCAACTGTTAAATTTACTTCGAAGAATTTATATGGGGGAAGTAAAACCTAGATCTGGTGAAAAAAGTAGAACACAGCATTGGCTTACTGATTATAAACCACAGCCAAGTATTTGTTGGCTGTAACTGGATTACGGAAGAAGCAAGTTGAGATATAAAAGGAATTTCAGAATAAGATGGTACAAACAGGACATATTACACAATGGATACAAAGCCCAAACCAACTATTTTCTTCAAGAAAATAGGACATACTCAATACATCAAAGCTTAGTATTAAGTGCAGAGAGGAAATGAGATGACATTCAAAAGATGCAATTACAAATATTTGCGACAAAAGAAACATTTTACCCGTCAAATCAACATGGAAATAGCCACACAATAAATCATAATTAACATGATACAAATATGCAGCATGCTTGAGAACAATAGCTTCTGTTTGTTTCACAGAGACATGATTTAGGAAAATAAGCTGTTTTTGCAGAAACAAAGCTGCTCTTGAAAGTCATGTAAGAAGGTACACAGGGTGATTTAATAGAATTGCTAGGCTAAATACTATTTGTTAACCAGGAACTATTCAGAAAGCAGACTGCTACGAAGTTCTCAAGAGTGAAGACAATCAGTCAATCAAATACTAGGAATCGGCACTAACAAAACAAAATGAAAATATTAGACATAAATGTACTTTAATTGAAACTCTGGTAAAAAAAAATTTTGTTTTTTGGATCCCTATCAGTATTTTGAGAAATGAAGGCAGAAATGTACATCCAAGATGGTCCTGTTTAACCCCATTAAATTTTGGTGCAGAATTTTAAGCCAAAGAGGTCGTGGAAAAATCAGAGACATATTTTCTTGCTTTTCTGTGTGCTGGTTGATCACTCTGTCTTCATCTTCTTTGTCACTCTAAAAGCCTGACTGGATGAGCAACATGGCACAGGGGTGGTCTCTGATTGTGGTATCAGAGACTGCATTACATCAAAGTTGCTCTGTTAACAATCTGGTAATAGAAGTCAATGTAAACCATAGCCCCAACATAAAGTTCCCAAATCTGGAAACTTCCACGTAACCTGTCCTTTTTTAAATTTTTTCTTTTATCAAAAAAGGCACTAGCAGAAACTGAGTTTCCTATTTAATATCTAAAACAACTCTTCAGAACAACTCTCTCTTCAGAAAATAAATGCCCTATGTGTTCATTTATGCCATCTTTGCTGATGTGAAGGCAACAGATTTTCCTTGGCAACACCAGTGCAAAGAAGAGTTATTGGAACTGTTACTGTTATTGTCACTCTGCCTGACAATAATCCTTGATCTGATTCTGGGAGGTGGCTTTCATGTCCCAGGATAATTCCCCTCTGCTCCTACTCTGGAAATTAAGGGACAGATGGGTACAATCATGTCCAGAGAGCAACCCTGTAGGAGCCACACCTCTGCTGGCCCATGCTGGAAGTAGACAAGGCACCTTCCCAGTAAGGGCCAAATCAGCCTGTTTCCTTCAGGGTAAGCGCTATCTGGCCCAAGTAGAATGTTCTATCCCTACACGACTTATAGACTTGACTTTATGCTAAGGATTGACACTGGCCTCCACCGCGTCATCTCGTCAGTATGTCCTGCCCTCCAGGTAAGTGCGGGTACTCGGTGCACCCCACAGCGCTGGCCAAAAAATGTTGCTGTTGCTGAGCCAGCAGTATTGCATGCCGCTTTTTATTTATAACATCAAGGACTGAATCATGTCAAGTTAAGTCCTCTGGGAGAACGGTTCCCACCTGAAGCGTCCTAAGTCATGGAGCTGTTAAGCTGTAAGAATGGGCCACAAGAGGTTTACTGTCAACAGAGAAAGAACATCTGGGCATGGTTTCTCCTTCTGCAAGAAAGAAAAGGTGTCCTGATAATAAGATCACTTCCAGTGTCTTGCTTTTGGGGAGTTGAAGAAGATGGAACCTAAATATACTCCATTAACACTGGATACAATTTTACAGGAAGGAAAATGCCTCATTCTAGGGAAAGAAGTCCTTAATGGAACTCTGCCACATTAGAGTATTTCATATTCTTTTTCTTTCCGGACACTGAAATTTCCCTTCAAAGATTTTTCAAGGCATTTATAAAAAGTGATTTACTGGGGAGAGGATGAGAAACCACAGAAAAGCCATTTCCTCTCTGAATCAGCAAATCTTGTCCTAAATTTCCCTTTGGAGATTAGTGGTAATTTGCAAGCTGTCTCCTTTCTGTCTCCTGGAACTGTTCTCACCTGAACAGAACATCACAGAATTCACAAGGCCCAGTGGAAGACAGGATGAAAGCAGTTCCACAGAGTTAGCTGCTGTAAAATAGAACAAATTGTTCCTAGAGGTTGAGAAGTTAATTAGTACTTTTTTTCCTGACTAAAAGAGCAGAACATCTCCACTGAAGAGCAAGACACAGGTCTGCATTTAGTCACTGGTTTTTCATCAATCAATCCTTTCTTAAAAGCATGTACAAAGTGGCAGGTGAATATTCTCGAAAGGAAATGATTTCACTCTGTGAATTTTTGATTCAATCCCAATTTAGCCTAATAGGAGAGTAAAAGAACCAAGGAGGTGACACGACCTTCAAATATGAAAATGCAGCTTCGCGATCACAAACGTGTGCAAGGACCAGTTACAACTTCCAAGTAACTTGATCCACCTCAAAAGAATTTATTGTAGACGTTTAAGTCCATATTTTTTGCCCCAAATGGAAGGACCATCCTGTTGCTATTTAAAAAAAAAAAAAAAATTCAGTGGTCGATATAATCCCTGTCCCAATCCCAGAGGAGAAGTGACTCAATTAAAGTTTGTTTTTGTTAGTGCCAGTTCATAAGCGTTGGGTCGGTGAGGGATGATAATTGAAGGCTCTAACCATTTGTTGGCTGTGACTTCCTGTGCCCAATTGCATTCACCTCCTCTTCCGCAATGGTGGAGTACAGTTTTGAAGATCTTTTCCCTCTACTGGAAGGCTTGCCACTGTCATGATCTGAATGTCTTTTGTAATAATCTCCTCTTTGCACTACTGAGGAAAAGGGATCCGTTTTACCCTTTGTATTAGCAAATACATCACGGTGTTGACATGAAGATTAAAAAATGATTATTAAAAATAAAAGATCAGCTTCGCCACCCCCACTTAGGATTCAAGGAACCTGTTGGTCCTGAGCAGATACAGCATGATCTACAGAATTCAACAGCCAACATGATGGAAACGTCGTGCAAAATGAGGTGAGCTCAGAGTCTGCCCCCCAAAAGGGGCCCCCATGTTACCATTTTGATTCCAAGATGGATAACGAAAAATCACTTTCACTATGCAATGATCTTGAAGAATCAGAGCAATTTACCTGTTTCAGAAATTAGTTGGGCACGCTACTCCAAAGGGAGGCACAAAACAAGGAAATGAAGTAACCAGCATGAATAATGTACAAGAAAACAGAATGAGCGCAGCAGGAACGTTTTCTAGGGAAAAAGACAGGACTCCAGATGGCTATCATTCCCGGACACCTTAGGGAAGGAGCTGATGAATAAACTGAGGTCAAAACCTTCGCACCTTGGACATTTACAAATTGTCCTCAGACACTATGCACATTTTTAAGCCCAATGTCAATACCAAATGATACCATCAGAATGGTTCCTGGGATTAATTTATTATTCTGATTTCAAGTAGGTGAGGACAGTCTCTAGCGCTCTTCAATCCTTACCTGGAAAGATTAGGCATGGACTATTACTCCTAATACTCGCTGTTAAGAGAGAGTAAGGCAGGAAATCAGACCTCTAGCCCTGAAACTCTAAAGCACTGGAGGGCAACTCATTCATTTCTGACCACAGCCTTTTACAGAGCAGCAAAGGACTGGCTGCAAGCACCCCGCATTTTCACTCTCTTTACTACTGAGGCTCCACTGCTTCTATGCCTGGTGTCCAAAGTTATTTTCTTTATTATTAGAATCCCAATGCCCCAAAGGCAGGACTCTGAAGCACCTCCTCGTACTTTACCCCAAGGCTAACTTTTAATAATAGTAATAATAAGTTTAACATTATTATTATTAATAATAACAGCCAAGCTAGGAAGGTGTCAAAATCGAGAGGTCAGAGGACTCCAATTCTCACTCACTCCGGAAGTCTTGGTAGGCTGCTCTGGGCCTTGTTTTAATCCTGTGGGCAGCTAGAAGTCGTTTTTTTCAGAAGTGTGAAGCAGTTATCATCCAACTTCTGACTTTTCTCTTTAATCCGTTTTGGGCTGCACTGGACAAATGGGCTTTCTAGTCACTACCTCGACCTCTCCACCGCTTCCCATTTCTCCACAACAGGATTCTAGAATGCAGGCGTTTGCAAAGTTTCCTTGTGCGTGAGGACACAGTCAGCAGCTGCAGCAGGAGCGGGGGAGGGCGGGGCTGCCTCCCGCAGGGGACACGCAGGGGTGACATACTAGCTCGCCACCAGCAAAGCCTCCTTCTACACCAAGACTTCCAAAGGCTGTTGCTGTTCATATCAAACCTGTGTTTCAAATAAAATGCCAGGAGGTTGCCAGTTACCTCTCAGAGCTTTCTTTTTTCTGTTCAACAGACCTGGTTTAGCAGTTTCAGAAACAACACCCCACCTTCTTTAATTGATAGCCACCAGCTGAATAACGCTTGTCCCCACCAAATAAATCTCTGGAATGGTGAAACGCAAGCAGGCAGTGGTGCTTTTTTTGATTAGACTTCTGAAGCTACCGAGGAAGTACTCAGAAACACTTCCATTAACTTCAACCTGAGACAAACCATTAATAAAAGAAACGAAGGCAAAGCAGGGAGACATGAGAGCCGGAGGTCAACACATCCAACAAATCGAACTGGAAATAAGCAAGCTCAGGCCATCTGAACACCGGGAGACCCTATCTGACTCTAGAATTTCTTCATAAAGGGGCTTAGAGGTGGCAACTGCATGGCTCTTTATGAAGGGAGAACCTTGAAATCAAGAGTACACATTAACAGAATGAGGGAGGAGGGAGAAAGGTATATTAAGTGGTCGGGACAAAAGCCACCCCCCCCCCCACACATGCTCACTCTGCCTGACAGCAATCCTTGATCTGATTCTGGGAGGTGGCATTCATGTCCCAGCATAATTCCCCTCTGCTCCTACTCCGGAAATTAAGGGACAGAGGGGTACACTGATGTCCAGAAAGCAACCCTGTAGGAGCCACGGCTCTGAGGATGAGAAGCTGCTGGCCCATGCTGAGCAGCACAATGAGCTGCTGGGTCTTGTCTGGCCTGGGTGGGCCACTCCTGCAGCAAGACAATGGTAACTGACAGCTAGCAGAAGCTTTTCTCAGAAATGATGGAATCTAGAAACCAAGTACTCCTGGCAGGCTGAGGCAGCTAGTCATTGCTGTCTGTCATGCTTTTCAGCCTTCGTAGATGACTCTGTGTGTACCAAGTTTCTGAGCCAAGGAACTACTTGGCTCCAAAATTTTAAATTTGCAATGCTGACTTAAACTCTAAGACATGAAGTTCACTTCTAATTCCTTTCTCTTGACATGACTCTGCTTGGGGAAAGTTAACACAGACAAATGTTGCTTACCTTCCTGGGAAAATGTCCTGGGATTGGGTTGGGGGCTATGCTGGCCATCTCTCTCCTTGTCTGAAGGAACTTTTTTCAGGAGAGGTGGAAGAAGAGCAACTTTAGGGGAACTAGGGCCGGACGGAGAGTCTGGGAGGTCCTCTGAGAAGACACAAACACAAGACTAAAGCAGCCACAGAAACTGGATTCCAAAAACATGAAATACAAATGCTCAATAATTTTTTTTTAAGCATCACAGAATTCTTTTCTCCCAAATGTGTCTGCTCAGTGAAATAAAACATAAGCCTAGAGAGAAAAGTCATTAACATGTGTGGATCATCAAATCTGCGCAGATGGGAATCTACCCTGTGAAACTGAAAATTGAAAATTGAGCAGGTATCTGAAAATGTGATGTTTAAGTAAACTAGATGTCCCCCTCTGCCTGAAATAGAGGCTGTCAGATTTTCTTAAAAGATACACTTATAGGCCCTCCCTGGTCACGCAGCAGGTTAAAGCACAGCACACAGTGGCTAAAGCCACTTCTGCATGAGTTCAATCCCTGCCCCAGAGGTGACCACATGATGCTTCAGACGTCTCCTGACCCGCCCGCTGCTCCCCTCAGCAGTGTACTTTATCAGTCGGCCTGTTCTGCTCCCCACTCTGTCTCTGGTGAAGCCTCTCACGGCCCTTGCATCTCTGGCCTGTACCCCAGTTCTGTATGCATAAATAAATCAATCTTAAAAAAAAAAGAGATATATTTATAATTACTGCCTTTATCTGTTATCAATCCAGGAAAGTGGTTGTTATATCTACCTATCTATAAAGGCCATGTATACTCATACACACATATATATGATTATGTGTACTATATGTATATATATGTATACTAAACATATATATTATACACACACACACACACACAGGAGCACCACCTGAGGCCACTAGGAATAGCCTCAGACTTGTAGAACCAGAAAGGACTTTGGTGGTCACTATACAAATGACCAGATGAAATGACCTGCTAAACAAAAAAGCTGGCAAAATGACTAAGACTGCAGCTCTCATCTAGAGTAATTCCAGAGGCTAGGAAGTGTCACTCCAGTGGAAAGACATACTGACTCTATTTTCTCTGCTTTACTTCCAGCAAGCTCATTTTCCGTGTGGCACGTGTGTGTGGGTGCACACACACAGGCCAGCTTTCAGCTGGGGTTGTGCAGACGCGTACTTGCAATTTAAGTAGACTACCTGTGACCCTATTATCCACGGATGTGACAAGACTCTGAGGAATGGCTACCTACCTCGATCACTTCTCAGAACTGTGGCGAGGACATGAGTACTTGAAAATGCCTGAATTCTCAAGTGCTATAAAACCATCAGCTTGTAAACACACTTCTCCACCTACTAAGCACTGAGAAGCAAATGAACCCATGCAAACAAGCTAATATTAAAGCTTTCTGCAACAGAATTTCAGGAACCAGCTAGTTTTATATTCAGGATCAGCACCTGGGGAGCCAAGAACCCTCCAAAGTCGATGAGGTTTGCTTTCTAAGTGCTCTTTCCTTACTTCAGACTAGAGATTCACTGATAAAAATGCCAGACTGTGATGGAGCATTCATCATTTAAGTAAAAAGAAAAAAAAGCAAAAATTAAAAATAATTTTCTTTGCTTCTACTCTCTCTCTTCCTTCTTTTATGAAGACACTTTGCATTGATCGAGAAAACTGTTCCCCAGGCTCATAAGCTGTGGCTTGTGGGAAAGTTCTAGTGGACTCAGAAAGCCCTGAGTGATCTGCCTCAAGGGGTGGTTGCTTGAGGTGACCTGAGGGTTCCTTCCTATAGTGGCGTCTCTCCAGAGACTGGGGTGGGGGTTCCTTGAGATGCCAAGGGGTGTGAAGACCAGAGGCTGGCTTCCCACTTGGTGAGTAAAAGAAACATGAAGAGAAAAGAGGGCAGATCCACTGATAGACTGAGTTTGGGCACAGGGGGTCTTACCCTTTTGCTCATTATATCCAAGTTACCTGCATACTGAGGCAAGACTATGGTGAGCTGGGCTTTTCACTTCACAGCACACATCCTCTCAGCAGATAGCAGTACCCCTGGAGGCCTCTGTGTCTGACTGCTACTCACTAGTAAGTGATTTAGCAGATGTCGTGTCTCCGTGCCTCACGCTCCACATCTGGAGAACAGGCGTATGTGTGAGACAGTCTACGTAAGAGGAATGGCGAGCTGCAGGAGGGGTCACTGTGAGTCTGTAGCAGCAGCTGGGCTGGTCCTGTCCAAATCTCTGGGCCACCACACTGACCATCAGGGGCCGCAGCAGAGAAAAGCTTTAGATCCTACTATGATTGTCTGCAATCTCCTGGAGAGAGAAGGCAGAGAGCCCACCTGCTGGGCTGGAATGTAACCCATGTATACCTGCCTGGGGGTAGCCTCGCCCCGAACAGCTATGATGCGCTCTACTCCTGCCTACTGGACTTACCTTTTAACTATCTCCATCTAACTCCTTTCCTGGAGTCAGGTATATTCTCCTTTCCCAACCTGGCTTGCCTTGCTCCACTACAACTAGTGGATTCATCCCTAAAGAGCAAAGGTCCCATTAGTCTGAGCTGAGGCCTCACAACATGAGACTAGTGGGAGTTTATCCACATATAGCACTTGGAACAATGCCTGGAACAGAGCTAAGGCCCCAAGGACAGGCATAGTCAGACCCCCCACATCTTCATCCTTGCTTGCCTTCATTTTTGTTGTTTAAAGATTTATTTATTTGTGCATACAGAACTGGGGTACAGAACAGGCAGATGGACGAAGTCCACTGCTGAAGGGAGCAGCGGGCGGGTCAGGAGAGGTCTGCCACGCCATGTGGTCACCTCCGGGGCAGGTAGGAATCGAACTCATGCGGAAGCGGCTTTAGCTTCTTAGTGCTGTGCTTTAACCCGCTGCGCCACCAGGGAGGGCCTTGCCTTCATTTTATGGGGCAGAAAATGAAGAGGTGATAAGGGGTTCATTAGCGTACCCATTCTACTTTTATGAAGGTTTGACAGTTCTTAGAAGAACAGAAAGCTGAAAGGAAAAAATAAACTTGGTAGAGAAATGAGGATGTCGCAGCCGAGAAAAAGGCACTGCCTGATCCATGTCTAATATCGCTACGTTCCTTCTTATCATGAGATGTCTCTCAGCCTGGAGCCAGCAAACTTTCTGGAGAGAGGGGCAAAGGCAAAACATTTTAACCTTTCAGGTGAAATGGCCTCTATACTGCACCTACTCATCTCTGCATTTCAGCCCAAACAGCAGCCAGCCACATGAACACGCTGACTGTGCGCCAGTGCTGAACCCTTAAAATTCCACTGAACAACTTGTGCTTTTCCGATTCACGTTCCTGTGTCCCCTTGGGCAGGCGACTTGTGACTCCTTCCTGCAGACACCCCTTTGCCCACATTCACCCACAGCCCTTAAAACCCTCTGTGCCATCCCCACCTGGCCACCCGGGGGACAGTGACCAAAACCTTACCCGGCCGCGAGGTGCTTCTTGGTTTCTGCGGGATGGTGGGCCGAGCAGCCAGGCTGGGCTTGGGGGACTGCAGCAGGGGCTTGGAGCTGGTGAGTGTGCCCGAAGGGCTCCGGGACCTGGAACCCACTTCCACTCTGGATTCAACTTTGGCATTCTTCTCTGGCGTTCCCACGCTGAAGCGACTTTCTGGAAGACCTGGGTGTAGTTTAGGCACTGGAATGCAAATGGGCATAGAAGACCCACCTGGCTGTCAACATCCAAGGTGAAAGGAAGACTCCCCTGGGGGCTAGACGTCTGCTACCAACTGCTGCACTTTCCCGCTGTCATTTCTCATCATGGGCGTTTTAGAGCAGAAACACACCCTTCCAGAATGCTCTTATTCTTTAAAAAATAATTTTCAATTGCAGTAACACTGCATGACAACATTACATATATTTCAAGTGTGCCACATTGCAAATCAGCCTGTGCATCTCAGGCCTGGAACCGTCACTCAAGTTCAAGGCTAGCCGTGGTCATACCATGGACCCGTTTACCAGATTTACTCCCACCTTCTCTTTCCCTTCCAGTAACCACAACTTAAAACATGACTGGAAAAATAAAATTCTTTGTAGGAAAGCAATGGCCTTGCTGGTCTGATGACCCGACTATGCGGTCAACGACAAGCCCTCCTGGAGTACAGCTGTATAAGCAGCCACAGGCGGATGAGCTACTGTTGATTTATTTGAAGCCATTCGCTCTTGCCTGGGTCTGGGCTTCCGGCTGTAACCTCGCATTCAGCAAATACGGGCCAGAAATATCCTGTCAGTCCCTGTCTCCACCTCCTTTGCTACCTGAATTAACCAGCCAATTGGCAAAAAATAATGGGGCTAAATATGACTGTATTTGTTGTATGAACTCTCGCTGCATGAAGATACCAACGGTAAGCACAAGCACATCCCAAATAGGTTCCTAGTGACCATTAGTAAGTGACTTTCTGGTTTCCATCTAAGGTACTTGAGAGTCTATCTGTACCTGAAAAGCCGGGGGCAAAGCACATTGGATCTTCATGGATATTCAAGCAGAAAGAGAAAAACATTCTCTGGTGTCAAAGGAAAGTGTCACCTTCCACATTGCATATATGGATTATTTTTTAAACTATCAGCCATGTCCCCACCTTCCTGTCTTGCCAAAGGCCCACCAGTGGGATTCTTCTCAAGGAAGTTTCTTCCCTCTGGGAAGCAGAAAAGGGTGCTGGGTTCAGGCACAGGTTTGCAGTGCTGGGAGGTGGTCACTGTGGAGCTTTTGTCAGTCAAAGGGCATTTTTTTGGGTAGAAGCTGAGAATACGTAACACAGAGGCCAGTTCTTGCTTTCTGAGCTCTATTTTGCACCTGTCAATCAGGTGATTTCTGAAACTGGGGTGACAGAAATAGCTGGACTTACCTGCCCCACCTCCATCCGGCCGTTCTGTGCTGCTCAAGGTCAGGCTGGAGGAATCCTGGGAGATGGTCTCATTCCCAAGCTTCTAAAAAAAAAAGAATCACATGCCCCGACCCAAAAAGTGCATGTTAATTTACAGACAAGTCAAAAAAAAGAAAGCAGCTAGCAGACACCACCAAATACAGCCCTCTGGCCTCTGTGAGTGTGCCTGGTTCACCATCTCCCTGGAGCACACCTGTCGGGACATCACTGTGGAGACACACTCTGTTCTGTAGTAACAACAGGATTCTGGGGTCCAGTGTGGCCAGGTCCCTAAGAGGGATGTGGGTTCAGGGAAGCCACCGGTGGGTGACATTTCCTGTATTCCTGACTGAACAAAGGTGTGGGCCCTGCAGCTACCCACAGCGGGCACCCCATTCCATCGGGCACATGGCCCTGTCCAGGTTGGGGTCCAGTTACCAAATGTGAAAAGCAATGGAAACCTTTCCTATCTGTATCTAAAATGGTAACAAGGTCCCTGAAATGGGCCAGCCCTTCTTCGGCAATGACGCAGAACCAACCCGAGCTGTTGTTTAAGGAGCAACTGCAAAGGGCTGGTTGGGGTGAAGTCATGCAAGAAGAGTAGCTTCAGGGGCAGGAATGCTGGGCAGCAAGGGCTAGGAAGCTGAATGCCATTGCCGTGGGGTGGAGCTGTAGCTGAACAAGTTGGAGTTCACCCTCTTTTCCTTGGTGCAGAAAGCCCAACAGGGTGTGAAGTTTTATTTTTTTTAAGATTTTACTTATTTATGCATACAAGAACTGAGGTACAGGCCAGAGGTGGCGGGGGAGGGCAGGGAGAGGATTCACCTGTGACAGAGTGGGGAGCAGAACAGGAGATGCACTGAAATATGCTGCTGAGGGGAGCAGTGTGGAGACAGGAGAAGTTTGCCGCACTAGAAGGGTCAGCTCCTTGGCCAGGGATGGAACTCAAAGCTACAGTGGCTACTGATAGCTGTATAGTGCCGTGTTTTAACCCCTTGTGCCACCAGGGAGGCCCCAAGGAGTGAAGCTTTAGATACAAAAAACCAAGAAAATAAAACCTGGCATTTGCTCCCTAAGAATCCTACTGACAAAGATGCCCCACCACCATCTCCTGCCTCCTGCAAAACAAGGCAGGTGGCAGACAAGGCCAGGAAGTAAGATGTCCTAAGACAGCCTGACCTTCATCCTGTCCATTTCTGCTCGATTCCTGCATGTCACAAATGTAAAAAGCAAATTATCTGCTGCCAGTTGTTTTTGCAGATATAGGAGGGATTAACCGAAATGCAGTTCGGATCTGACTCAGAGCAGTGACCCATCTGCTGCAGCCTCGCGCTAGCGGCTGTGTGGTCTCTGCACAGAGCAGGCGGAACAGGGCAGGCCCAGGAATTACGGAGGGTTCAGGTGCTCAGCCTGAACAGTGAGGCTGCTGAGCCAGGAGGTCTCTGGGAAGAAATGGGATACCAGCACCAGCTCTCAAAAGGGTGTGTAGCTTGGCATCGTTGTGTGGGAGTGAGCTCAGGGAAAGGAGGCCCTGGCAGGGCTGGAGGTGGAGAGCCAGGACCACTTGGCAAGGGTGGAGGTGGGCGGTGGGGGCTAGCCACCAACTCCAGGGTGGAACCAACTCTAGGGTGGAACCAGCAGGGGGCCCTGGAGGAATGGTGATTCCTGAGCTGTCCAGAGGCTGTGCCCTCCCCAGTCCGCAGTGCCAAGTGCCTGTCCTGGCAGAGACATATATCTGGGCATAGGCGAAAGCAATAATGTGGACATTTCAACAGCTTTAGCACGAGGGGCACTCAAGCAAGATGCGGAGGGCACAGATTTAAGCAGACACCCTTTCAGGCTCATGTAAGGAAGGTGAGCCCAAGTAAGAACCTTTTTAAATTCTGCCAGACCTTGGGGTGTTCATTCACCCACATCAAAATAGAATCCAAGGAGTCATTTTTAAATTTCCCTTTCACATTTTCTTGAAGTAGTCATCACTCCCCAAAGTGACTGTGCACAACAAGGATAAAATACTAAGTGGAGGAAAGATGGAGTCAATGAGCATTGACACCTGTTACGCGCCTTTGTGAATAAAATACCTTTTCAATTCTTTTTTTTAAAAAAAGCATGAAGTGTGAGTAAAGAGAATCACTCAAGAGGAGTGTGAAGAGACTACATATGCATATATTTAGCAATTCTTATATTGCTAAATGATCACTGATTTTTATATTGCTAAATTTATAATGAGTGTAGTCATAGAAAGCCCTCCCTGGTGGTCCGACTGGTTAGAGCACAGCACTGGGAAGCTGTCCAAAGCCACTGCAGCACGAGTTCAACCCCCGGCCAGGGAGGTGACCCACATGGTGCAGCAGACCTCTGCTGACTGCCCGCTGCTCCCCTCAACAGTGTGTTTCTATACATCTGCCTGTTCTGCTCCCCACTCTGTCTCTGGTAAATCTCTCACTACCTGCACCTCTGGCCTGTACCCCAGTTCTGTATGCATAAATGAATGAATGAATGAATGAATGAATGAATAAATAAATAATTTTTTTTTAAAAAAGAATGTAGTCACCTAAAGTTATTATTATTTTTTTTTTTGAAAAAAATTTCATTTTATAGTACTGGCTTGAACTTGAACACCTATAATTTGTATTACTGCTGTTGTTCTAAACGGTCTCTAGGTGGTGCTAAGAGATCATGAGTCTAAATCTTTAGCGCCTTAAAAACACTAAACCAAAAGATTTTTGTCCCTTTGAGCAGATTTATATCCCAATCTCAAGCCCACGGAAAAAACCCTTCAGCACTTTTCATCTTTCTACCAAAAGGCAGGTGTTCATGGATGGAAACAGTGATCAAATAAATAGCTCAGGAGTATGAAAATTGTGGGTTCACTGTTAGAAAGAAATTCTATAAAGCAGATTTAAAAATTTAAACATTTCCTTGCACCTGACTCACACAGAGTTCTGACCAGGGAAGGGTATGCCAAGGCTCTCTAACTGAAGTGGCAGAATGTAGATCTATATGCTCCCTTCTCTCTTCCTCTCTAGGGGAACTAGTCACTTAGGAGAGAAACTAGGCAACTGCTAGAAATAAAGGTGTTGGGAAGAATGTTGACCAGCTATGAAATCACATAGGAAGGAGGATATAGTGGAAAAAACAAAAACAGTTGTTTAGAAGCAACAGGACAGTCTTCCACAGCTGCTACAGAGTTTACTGTTTATGTGCTGAAAAATCAAGGGTTCATAGGGTGACTGTTTTATTCTGACGCGTCTAATAAAATCGACGTATAATCTTTCTTCCTTTGGAGGACCGAGTTTTACAAATGTAAAAGGGAGCAGGATGATGTACAGAAACCAAAATCTGTGTCAAGCATGGGGAAATGCATCCTTCTGATCACAGTAAGGGTGCAGTCTTTCAAGTGACTGCAGGAGACGCAGAGGTAAAAAGGACAGAAACACAACTTGGGTTTTATAAAGCACTTGAGAAAAAAAGCGAGGCAGAAAGTCAGACTGGGGGACACTCAGCAACGTTTAACAACTGAGGTTTTTCTCCACACCAACAGAGACATTTGGTCAAGTGCTTCATTAACTCTAACGGAGTATATTTACTAGTTTTCCCTTGTGGCTTACAATGCAGGAATACAGAAAGGAACTTTCAGGTATAGAAAAGGGATGAAATTACCAAAAAGTAGATTCCAACTTTCTATAATTAGAATCCACTTTTGGTATTTTTATTTCCCCCTGTCAGTTCTCACCTGCAATGACCCTCAGGTGTGTGGTCTTTTGCCCAAACTGAGCATCTCCCCTGACCCGCTGTCACAGACCTCCATGACACAGGGCACTTCTGGACAGGCGGGATCAGCCTTAACTCTGGCAATGGCGTCCCTTGGGCCTCAAAGGCTTCTGGGAAGAGTGTGGCCCTGCCTCTGTGCTATGTGTTCGTGTAGGAAATGAATCTTTTGTCTGGGGAGTTTTATTTGACAACAGGCTATTTTGCTGTCCCTCTCCTACCCACGCAGGGGCAAACCCAGAAAGATGGCCACCTTAGACGGGCTCCCCTCTTACCTTCTGCGCACAAGCAGCTCTCTTCTCCTGCTTGGCTTTCATCTCGGCCATCAGACCGCTGCCCATCACCTGGACCCCATACCTCCGGCCTCCCTGGGGGCTGCTCCTGCTGTCACTCCGGTCCAGCTTCCCCATGTCCTCCCCTTGACCCTCCTCCAGGGAGTCGGGCGTTTTGACCTCCTCTGTCCGTTCAGAGCTGCTGTTGTGCTCAGCTGGCTTTGTGTCCTTCCTGGGTATGTCCATGGCTGGACTTCTGACGGCCCCTTTTGGGGACGAGGGCTCTTCTGTTATCAAGACCGTTGGTGGCCGCTCAGCTTTGGAGCGGGATTTGATTAAATTGAGAAAGGCACTCTTCCGAGAATCTCGCTTTTTCTTTTCATCGCCTCCTTCGCCAAGCTCGTGGCACTCTGAGCCTCTTCCTGCAGATCTCCTGTGAGCCAAGAGAATGAATCCCGTTGGCGTGACAGTAATTCAAGCTGCACAGGGACCCGTCAATATGTAAATATAGGGATTAATAACTCACCGAGCAAGCACCCTGAAGCACTTTGAAAAGTGGATTAGAATCACTGCGCTTATGAGATTTAGTGGAAGATTTAGTGTCATAGTCACAAGTGAGAAAATGGAGACACATTAAGAGAGAACCTGGAGGTGTAAGTGGTAGGACTGGGGCAGAAGGGAGAATATTTTTTATACTTAAATGCGCTAGGCAAGTGCATATTCCATGGTAACACCTGACCACCTCACTGTCTCCACATAGGTGGATGACTGCCTCTTTGAGGTTGGTGGGCCTGGAAAAGGCAGACGTCCCCCACTCCCACCCCTCCAGCCTTCCAAAATTATCAGCTGACATCTAAAGTCCCACAGTTGGTGCTTAATCCAAACAAAGTTTCAGACTCTTATTTACATGTCATACCACTTAGGAGACACCAGAAAAGACAGTGAGCTTTAGCAGAGGGGTCAGCAAGAGAATATTGAGATGCTTGGACAACGGGTGAGGAGAAAGTATAAATAAAAGGAAGAGATTATAAAACTAATAATTCAAGAAATATCCCAGAAACAAAGAATATAACTTTTCACACTGAGATGGTACATAGCAAATGGGTTAAAATCACATGAAGAGCCTTCCCTGGTGGCGCAGCGGGTTAAAGCACAGCACTGAGAAGATAAAGCCATTTGTGCATGACTTCGATCCCCGCCTGCCCCGGAGGTGACCACATGGTGTGGCAGACCTCTCCTGGCCCGCCCGCTGCTCCCCTCAGCAGTGTACTTGGTCGATCTGCCTGTTCTGCTCCCCACTCTGTCTCTGGTGAGTCCTCTCACCGCCCCTGTACCTCTGGCCTATATCTCAGTTCCATATGAATAAATAAATCTTTAAAAATAGGGCAGACACCAGAATGGGGTGAAGGGAAGCCCTGGGAGGGGTGTGAGGGGATGGGCCCCATGTTGGGCTGGGGTCAGTCAGTCGACACAGGAAAGACGTGTCCAAAGAGGTAGAACCAAACACTGGAAGAAACTGCAAGGACATGTGTTAGCTTTTCCTGAGACTTTGAGGATACACTAATGAAAGGAATACTGACTAGGAGAAATTAGCACATGCAGAAGAGGGCAATTATTAACTCCAGAGAAAGCAAGTTAGATATGTAAGGAAGGAGATGTAATCATTGTAGAATATATGACTCTGCTGTAAATATTTACATGGCTAGAATGAAGTAAACACTATGGATCTAATCATCAATTATGATGCAAATAAGTAATGAAGCTGTGGAGGAGTTTGGTGGGTAAGAAGGTCAAAGCACACTGAGAGCTAAATTCTCATTCTGTAAAATATCAACAGTTAAAAGTGACTATCTGAAACTGAAAAACAGTAAAATTTTCAAATGTTAAGGAACATGGATAAAAATAAATAACTGAATGAATAGAAGTAATTATCTCTGGGACAAAGAGGTAGGAAACCAACAAGTGACTTGCCCTCCTTTTTTTCTGGTAAAACGCCCTATGGAGAAGCTGACATTTTAAATTATAAGCATGTACAACTTTGATGTTCCAACTTTCAACCTCTTGATGACTTTACCAAGGCCTACCCCCTTCACCTATCAAACTGACAGCTATCTTTTATATAACAACATGAAACAAAACACAACTTGGTTGATTCTATCATCATTTTTTTTAAGATTCTACCTACTTATGCATACAAAACTGGGGTGTAGGCCAGATGTACGGGGGTGGGAAGGTGAGAGGATTCAGCAGCGACAGAGTGGGGAGCAGAACAGACAGATTGACTGAAATACACTGTTGAGGGGAGCAGCGGGGAGATACAAGAAGTCTGCTGTGCCATGCGGGTCAGTGTCCTAGCAGGGGATCAAGCTCCTGATGTCGTGGCTGGCAACAGCTTTTGACAGCCCTGTGTTTATCCCCTGCACCACTAGGAAGGCCCCAATTCTGTCATTATTTAGTGGAATGTCATGGTTCTCTAGTTCTGTGCAACAAACATGAACGGAATTCTATGGCAGCAACTTTGTGGAAAATGGAATCTGCAAACCTCAATAAATCCACCCACCTTTTAGTCACAGCTTATCAAAGACAGAGGTGATGTTAAAACCAGAGGAAATCACACCCCAGCAGGTTTAACAACACATGTCCAAGGTATTTACACTCTAACCATCTCTGATCATTATTTCTAAAGCTTGGTCAGCAGCGTCTGCAATGGCGTCAGCAACTGATACAGAGACTGGCCATGATGGATTCATTCAACGGTGATGGGGCACAATGCTACCTTAATAGGCACTGTGTCAGACACCCAAGTTATGATGAAAAAGAAGATCTATGTGTTGCTTCTGAAGAAAACTAATCTGGTAAGCGAGGGAGACTTGAAAGCAAATCATTAAAAGGGAGTTCCCCATTATGCTTATGTTGCTTGGTATTGCTTGATGCTTTCATCTTGAGAATATGTTCATCTGGTCCCTGTGCTATTAACATTTTTTTTAAAAACAAGTAAACTCTCAAAGGATTCTGTGAGCTCTAACAGATGTGTGCTGGGTGGGGTGGAGGGGGGGTGGTGAGGAGGGGACCAGCACTGAGTCAGCAGTAAAGAAGCAATTAATTGGGGTCTGGAGGGAGAGGAGAGAGCGTGAAAGAGCTTCAAAGAATAAACAGCATCTAGGCTGGTTCTTGAAGGACAGGAGAAAAGAATTTTTCCAAGGATAGTGTGCCAAGCTGTCAGGCCAGTGTCAAGGAAGACAAATAATTGGGTCCTAAAGCTTATAACCTGCACTAAGTTATACAGTTATGGATATAAAAATTTAGCTTACTTCCACCTCAGCATCCTGCAGAGGCTAGATAAGGCCCATCAATCCACAGAATGGACGGTTCCCTTGCCAGCTCAAGACGGCCTGCTTATCCTCAGCTTAACAGTGCGGTTGAAATTCAATCCTGAATCTGATATCTCAAGGTGAAGAATACTTCACAGATACAAATCCAGGTGAAGAGCACATTTGGGGATGGATTTGCATTTCGCGAGGGATCAAACAACTTGATGTACATCAAAAAAAACGGAGGGTTCCCAGTGAAACAACCGTTAATGATTTGTTTTTTTTTTTTAAGGAAACTTCATCTACGAGAATGGTGACGATGCTTTAGAGGCTAAATCTTCTGTTCCTTGTGGACTCTGTCTATAAAAGTCATGTTATTTAGGAACGGCATAACGGCCCTGAGTTTCTCAAAGCTGAAAAAGGAGGAGTCAGACAGTTACTTCAGCCTGCCACCGCACACAGGCCCATAATAGAAACAACAAGGTGAATGTGATAAAGCCCTAGAAATAACGCCCCGGGAGCTGCACCTTGTGGTCCGGTTCAGAATAGCACAAACATTCTCAAACATGAACATGGATGAAGGCTTATTAAAAAACGCTGGGCCCCCTCTAGCATTTCTGATTCAGTGGTTTGGGGCAGAGATTTGAAAAATTACATTTCTAACAATTTCCAAGTTGCAACTGACGTTTGCAAACCATCAGATAGCACATTGCACATTAAAATAGATAATATGAAAAATACCCCCAAAAAATCACTTGCTAAAACATAGACCTCGGCCCTCCCTGGTGGCGCAGCGGGTTAAAGCACAGCACTAAGAGGCTAAAGCCACTTCAGCATGAGTTCGATCCCGGCCCGCCAGGGAGGTGACCACATGGCGTGGCAGACCTCTCCTGACCCACCCATTGCTCCCCTCAGCAGTGTACTTTGTTGATCTGCCTGTCCTGCTCCCCACTCAGTCTCTGGTGAAGCCTCTCACAGCCCCTGCACCTCTGGCCTGTACCCCAGTTCTATATGCAGATAAATAAATCTTTTTTTGAAAAAAAATAGACCTCTATATGCACACACATATACATGTAAGGAGCTTTAGCATATTAAGTTTAATTAAACTGTTAGTAATTGAAATGTGAATGAGACGGAATTATTAGTGAAATACTGAACTCACTTGGAATCCATTTTGGTCACCTTCTTGGTGAAAAATTCATCTACACCTTCATCCACTCTGCCCATGAGACCGTTCTGCTCCCCGTCTTGGGAAATGATGCTGACAGCACGGACCTGCAGACCCAAGAGGTGTCATATTAATTCACATCAAACCTCAGGCATTGAGCATTCACTGCCAGAGCAGTACGACGCAGGCCATGAACACACAAGGTAAAACCCGGTCCCTGACCTAGCAGGACAGAAGCCACAGGTCCGACTGTGACCAGGGCAGAGAGAATCCACGGTGAGGGCACAAGACTGGTGGAGGGTCAGGCTGGCTGGTGCTTTCCAGCCACCAGGCCACGAGGAGTCGTGTTTCTAAAGGCAGCGGGAGGCACTGCAGGTGGTGTAAGGGAAGAGAGAACGTGTGGAGGAAACAGCATGGTGACACGGGTGACGGTTACAGTGACCGGGGCCTGCGTGTGGATGAGCGTCACCCTGTGTTTAAGACCTGGCAGCCACTAACACAGACCACTCCGATGCCCCTTCCCTGCCCGCCTGCTGGGATATCCCTGATTCCGAGATGTGGACTCCTCTTTGCGGGCGTCAACACCATGACGCCAGGCCTGCGATTGGCAGACGCTGCAGCAGTCACCTGGTTCACAAGTGGGCAACCGTGTGGATTTTATGAGGACAAGAACCACGCAGCTGAGCATGGTGGGGCTGAAAGGAGAGGCAGCGGCTGCTGCTGTGTTGCTGCTGAATAAAACAGGCCTGAATCCTGAGACATCTTGATTTTATGTCAGGTGAGAAAATAAATATTTCTCATTATTTACGTCACTTTCGGAATACCGGTTCCCTGCTCTCTCAAAATAGAACATTTCCATTTGGTATGAATAAGGAGGTTGATGTTTTTAGGTCTTGAATGTTCATGATTTTCTTTCATATAAAGTAAGGGTGACAGCATTCCCAGGCCCCCCAAAATAATGTGCTAATGCATATCAAATAGGACTGTTCATTCTAATTTCAGATAGCTGGTTAGCTCTAGTATCTTGTTACCCCTAGTAGAGAGACTACTTCTCCAGTCATATTGTAACAGGGTGGTCCCTAGGAAAAGGGGAAGTTTCAGGTTCCCTGCCCCACCCAGAAGGAGGGTGGAGCTGAGCAGAGAAAAGAAGAAATCAGAGGAGAAGAAGAGAAGGAAGCAGGATGGAGAAGGAGGAGGAGACCTGAGGAAGCTCCATGGAGCAGCAAGCATGTGAGGAAGAAGCTGTGCTTGTTTCCTGGCCCTGGACTGGTTAAGGCAGATGTGGGTGAGAGACCTGCAGGGAGGTGACTATGGCAGTGTTTATAGTGATTTTGATGTTGTTCTTTTCCTCCCAGATTTGTCTGGCCATTTCTGACCCTTTTCCATGGGTCCCAGCCAAAAGGTGCTTTAGTCTTGTGGCAGTTTTCAGGTCTTGCTTTGGGCCAATCCCTTTTGGGTTGACTTTTGCCCATGAGGGGATGCATAACTTCAGGTGTTTGATTTAGAAGTTATATTCTTTGTGTTCCATATTGTATATTCACTGTACTAAAGTCCCTTTTCATTAAAATTTTATATGTTTTGTCTTGACGCGGCAGATGGCAGAACCCACTTAGAGCAGGCAGGTTTTGGGCTTCAGGGGTTCCCCTCTCTCCCTGTCCTGTAACAGATTTTGTCCTGAAACAGATTTGGTGTCCTATAACAATAATACAAGGACCAGTGTTGAACAGCCTCAAGAAGAAACACAGGATTTATTTGTAGGTGACAGCGTGTCAACAAGGAGTGACACGTATTCTGTATTCTGGAGAGGTAATTCTGAGGCAGCTGGAAGGATATACAGGGGAACCTGGGGATTGTAGGGAAAGCCGTTCAGAACAGAAAATGAAACAAGTCCGCAAGCAGACTTGTCTCATCTGGAGTTGGTAGGAGACTGACTGAGAACTGGAGAAGAAAGAGGGTGGAAGTTTCCAGGCTGAGGTGAATGGGAGCCTGGTTCTGAGGAACACAGTTTAAAGACCTGGAGAAGAGGGTGATAAGCCAAGTGTTTGAGGTAGTAGGGGAAATGCAGGGACAGACAGATGTCCGGCAAGAGGCTGAAAAGCTTGGGTCTCAGGTGAGAAGCTTTGAGGAAACACCACAAGACAGCATTTCACTTTGAATGCCAACACATTGTGGGCTTCATCATAGGCTTGACTCGTATCTGTAATGATTTATCCAGTGACTATTTCACACAGATGATCATGGGTCAATGAGTAAGCACATATACCTAGCCCATAATTTGGGGGCACAAGATAGATCTTTCAGTGGCTGGGATAGATGGGTGGACTGTCTTTCCAGAAAGTGGTGGGAAAGCAACTTCCTGTAATCTTGATTTGCAAGCCTCGAGTTGCCTCAGGGGACATAGGCTTTGTTTAAGGAAAATTCCATCATCCTTCTCATTCAGTGGGAAAATAAACTGTGCTTGAGTGCACTGCTTGAGTGAAATGCTGAAAAGTGAGATGACAGATAATGGACAAATCCTACAAAAAGGTGGAGAATAAAATCAAGGAATCCTCTCCTCTGAATGGGGCTTTAGATAGGAGCCAGGCTTTCCTATCTATCACGATGGAGCAGGGCATCGGCAAAGCTCTGTCATTCGGTTAAGGTGAGAAAGAAGTGCACTGAATACCTTTTGTGTTGCTTACACAAGATAAAATAGCACAAAACTGGATTGTGTTATCATTTTCCCTTTTGTCAAAGAATGGGATTTCTAGAGTAATCACAGCTCTCTGGAGGCGACATCATGTCTGATTGGTTTATATGTGTTTTTGTATATTATTTCAGCTTTGCCTCTATCCTCTGAAAGGAAAAAGAAATGCCTGTTTCCTAGTTTTTGGTTAATCACATATCCACTAGTTAACTCCTCATGAGGGATGACACAGGTCACCTGAATGTTGGGTGAGACTTTGGGACTTGTGGTCCTGACACAAGGATTTTCTTCCAGAGTACCCAAAATCCTTGCCAAGACATCTCACATCTCCCTTGCCATTTTGAAAAAATGGTGGCGCAGCGGGTTAAAGCACAGCACTGAGAAGCTAAAGCCACCTTCACATGAGTTCGATTCTCGCCTGCCCCGGAGGTGACCATGACCACATGGCGCGGGAGACCTCTCCTGACCCGCCCGCTGCTCCCCTCACCAGTGTACTTCGTCGATCTGCCTGTTCTGCTCCCCACTCTGTCTCTGGTGAAGCCTCTCACTGTCCCTGAGCCTCTGGACTGTACCCCAGTTCTATATGCACAAAGAAATAGATCTTTAAAAAAAAAATTAAGTTTTACTGCCATAAGTTCTCCTCTTAGCCCTTTGCTTCTTTGAAACAGAATTCACAGCTAGCATAAAAGGCTCTCTGGGGACATAAAGAGCCTCAGTGGGTTTTGGCAGTTCAAAGCAAAGTGCTTTCCTGCAGGACAGACCAGTTTTGAGGGTTGTGCGATATCTCATAGATTGCCAGGTCCAACCCCACCATTTTAGAGATGAAGAGACTGGGAGCAAAGACTTTAAGAGGAGCCTAGTGTCATGTGGAGATCTTCGCTGAGATGTGGTTTTAAAGTGTCTATTAAAATTGGAAGCAGGAGGTGTCATGAGCCATCAGAAGCTGAAGACTTAAAATGAAAAGGAGCTTGTCAAAACAGTAAGACGCCACACACATGCACACACACACAGACACGCATGCCGATTTTGCTCATGTTCTAGCAAAAGGAAAGGACAGGACATACACACATCAGTAGTTCTCAAAACTCCATTTGACGCTAGTGTTTTTTGTCAAGGAGAATCGATTTCACACTAAAAAGAGTGGTGTGATTACTAGAGAGTGAGAACAGAAATCAGTCCTGGTTGAACCTCATTGTCTTTGTGTTCAAAGAAAGGCTTTTTGCAAATAAAATTGAGACTCAGAATCACGGGTGTTGACACTGGGAGATAAAGAAAGGCTTTGCCCCTTTGGTGTATGACTAACTGCTAAAAGGACAATCTGCAAAGGCTTCCAAGTTAAGCTGGTGATTAGGGGACTAAGATGACAGGCCACCAACGTTCTCCCTCTGCCAGGATTATGAAAATGAACACCGGAGGTGTTCACCTGGATTTCCACAGGCAGCTGCCAGATCTCTCCTAATGTCTCCACAGGCTGGGTGGAGAGATGGGCAGAAAATGAGGATAATTAAATGCATTAGTAACTCTGAACAAACATACCCAAAGACTGCTAATTATTGAGCTGAATAATCATAAATCTTACCCACATATTTTAGACAGTAAGAAACATGGTAACTGAAAGCTAAGCAATCAAGTCAAGAAAAAAGGAACCCAATAAGGAAAAGAAAGGAAATAGAATGAAAAGATAAAGATTAATGAGTTCAAGAGTACTAAAAAAACCTGAAGTTGATACTTCCAGCAAAGACTAAGGAAAGAGCTAACCTTACAAAATGAAGAGAAAGGGATCAAAACATGTGCAAAATGAAAAAAAAAAGGGGGGGGGGGAGGTGAGGTGGGAATATAGCCATCAAGAGGTTAACAATTCTATGCTAAGTATTCTATAGACAGCTAAGTGAACCATTAGGCTAAGTAGACAATATATAAATAACCAGAAATAAGTGGGCAACTGAATAGATTAACAAAAAGCAATCAAAATCCTAGTAAAAAATTCTACATATAAGAATCACATGTACAAGACAATATACCAGGTCCAGATGGTTTCCCAGGACAGGAACAGAAAATCCCTATTAAATGTGAAGCACTAACAGGAAAGAGAACAAGTTCCCCAACTAATATTTTAAAACACCAAATAGATGGAAAATCTAGATTAAAAAACATAGGTCTAATTTACACTCACATATGAAGAAATTATAAAAATACATGGCTCACAGACTAGCGATATATTAAAACAAAGCAAATATATTAACAGACGGTATAAGATCAGAAAAATCTGTGATTCGCCGGAACTGTAGATTAAAAGAAAAAATTCTCAAGCTAAAACACTAATAAATAAGAAATTATTAAATACTAAGAAATACTAGGAAAATAAATACCAAGAAAAAATACAGTTAAAGCAGCATTCATTGAAATGAAAATTAGCTAACT